CGTCGTCGTCGTCATCATCATCGTCGTTGTCGCCCTCATCATTGTCTTGCTCGTCGTCCACGTTCTCGTCGTCGTGGAAATAGTCGGTGAGAATGTGCCGCCGTTAACAACCGCGCGCTTACGGAACATGGTCGCGCAACGGCCGTAGCGAGCGGTACCCTCCACGGCACGGCACCACGCTAGACGCCGCCGCCGGCTCTCTCCGTGCGAGAACTAACCTACACGAGGCCGCGAGGGTGCATCCCCAGCACGTTCGGCCGTCCCGCGCTTGCCGTGCCCGGGGACAGCGGCGCGGCCTGACAGCACGAGGACATGAAGTGGCTCGGCGCGGGCAGCGGAGGCGCCGGGGGCGAACCGGCATCCTCCATGCAGCTGCATCACACCTCCGCCAACGGCCACATACCCACGGTACATACACGCACGTTCGCTTTTTTCTTTTTCCTTTTTTCTCTTTCTATCTACCTCATCGCCGTTTGCGATCGGCTACCTCGAGATCGGGGAACGCGCCGACCGCGAATCGACGAGCGTGACTACGACAATTGCGGCGCAGGAGATCGACCGCCATAACCTCGTCGGGCAACCGTGTTGAGAATATGAACGCGTTTGCAAATGTCAGCATGAGTGTTAAAGTGTCGATGGAAACGTTGATTCGGTCCTGTATGTCTGCGGGAAAGAAATGTGCCGAGTGGCTCGAGTACTTAGTGATCCTGTGAAAACGATATATCTAATACCTTTTTCCAAACTAGATGCTAGAGGCAGGATCAGGATTGAAAAAAAAACTCGTTTGTTTTAATATATGTCCGGTTATTAATAGCTTTCCAGTTGTAAGCGATTGAAAAATAGAGGAATTTGATTGAATTGAATAAACTAATTTGGCTACGTAAAATAAAGGTGCAAGTATGAAGATAACTGGAATTGCAGTGATGTTTGATGTGGTTTTGATTTGAATTTATTGTATTTTAATTTAACACTTGATATTATATATAAAAATTAACAAGTTACGTGTAAAAACACAAGTGTAACCAAATTTTGCTGAGACAATCACAAATATTAAGATTATAGCCATGGAAAAGTGTTATTATATTTTTAAGTGATTTGTGTTTTATAAATATGCCGTGACATTACTAATCATTGATGTATATGGGGTTATTAGGACACAGAACAGTGTGGGCAAGTTATGGCTGGTGGCGATAATATGCGAATCCAACCTGGTCAAACACATCAGATGGGAGTGAGTAGAACTCAAGACGATGCTATGGTTGGTTATGTGTTTCAACGACCTACAGAGCCAGAATTTAACACCCAATCTTCAACTTTCCAAACAAAGCAAGCTCCGAGAGCTTGGGCATTAGCGGATGACGTTATTGTCGATAATGTATGTATGACAAAGTGCATGCTGATTCATTAAATGATCTATACATTGATATTTTTACTATAGTTTCAAAATCTAAATACATACCTGTTTGTTTCATTGCATCAGTTTTGAATAATTCAAACTAGTTTCATTACAAGTACAATTTTTTTTAGAAGGGGTTGTAAGCCACTTGTTTAGTCTCTATTCCAAAGAAGCTTATTTCTAAAATTATTTATTATTGTTATTATTTGGAAGCTTTTTCCTTCAAGAGAATGCAGTACTGTGATTTGTTTATTTCTAGTTATTTTAGGTTTAAAAATTCAGATTACGCAGAATTTATTTCTATCAAAGCAGTGTATTTTTGGGATTTGGGTCATCCCGAAATTTCTCAAAATTCTTAGCGTCATATATTTAGGATAATCATTTTAGATTCCACTTTGTTACAAATAAAGCCTACAAGACATGAAAACTTAATCCTATTATAAACTGGGTGGCAAGTCTCGGAATCAAACCTGGAGTTTTTGCTTGACAGGCAACTAATCTGGCACTGAGCTATTCAGTACCCCAAATATGTATCTTTTGTTTTAAATTTAGCATATATATCTATATATAAAGAAGGTGACAATAAAGACGTATTTCATTGCTTGTCACCTTTATATGTGTGTGTGTGTGTATATATATATATATATATATATATATATATATATATATATATATTATTAACGATTTACGATTTGATTGTAATTTATACTTTTATGCATATCTGATGCTTTTCTATATAGGAATAAATAGAAAAAGAAATTTGGTTAACACTATGATTAATGTAGTGATAATTCAAGCAATTATACAATCGAGATAATTTATTTTACAGAATCAAGAAAAGTGGAAATATTCTATGACTAAACTTGGTGTACCTCAACAAAGTCAATCTCAGCAACTAGGATTAACTATGAACAATGTACATTTGAGTAATGTACCATATGAGATACATCCTATGCAGTTAAAAGTAAGTAATAAATCTCAACAATTGTATTTCACACGCAAGATTACAGAATTATTTTACATGAATAATTCATGAATAATTTTTTATACATTTGTACAAATTTTATGTATATCTTTTACGTTTGTCTCGTAGAGCGGTGCACCTGGCGCAGAACATTTGGTTTATCTAAACAATCAGATGACTGCTCAACAACAGGTTCAACAACAGGTTCAACAACAGGTCGCTCTCTTTCATCACCAACAGCAGCAGCAACAACAACAACAATTCAGAAACGGACAGGTAAGTTTTTCCATATGAAAAAAATTCCATTAATGGTTATTGGTTTTTACATAAAATGTGTCTCATGCGATAAGGAACAATACAATAGCCAATCAACTTCTTGCTTTATGAGAAATAACAGATACAATTTAAATTTTATAAATAGACAATTAAAAGAGTATTGAGAAAGCTTCTTACTACTATTATTAACGTATAACACACAATATTCATCATGAATTATCTGTGTGGTTAATACAAAATTACAGCATCTTTCATTTTACTTATAAAAATTTTATACATAATTTAAATACGCTCTTTTTTTGCTATATTTTTCGATTGAAGGATTTAACAATGATTTAACAATTTCATGTTTTTGCACAATTAACAATGGATCTTATACAATGGACTTAAGTAATGTAGATCTTTGCTAAAACTATGTCAGGGTTAAAACTCTGGTAGACTATGAGTGAATTTTTGTTTTATTATTTTTAGTAATCTTTGTTGCACGTATTTCAAGGAAATTTATAGTGAAAGTGGGATATATGTAGAAAAATATTACGATAATTTTTATTTTACCACACTCATCATGTCACAAATAATTAATGTCAAGTATAGCATTTTGTTATCGATATGTTGACGTGTGGATTAACGAGTTTCAATATTAAGTTTCAAAATAAAATATAATGTAGCAGTTACAATCACTCATCAAATATATAATTACACAATTTTAATGTGTGACTTGTCTCTATGTCAACAGAATTAATAAAACTTTAATCAGGGATTTAATTCAGCATTATTATTCGAAATAAGTATTAATTAAAAATTTGAAAGAAGTTGAATTGTTTATTTGGCAAATTTGTTGGGTGAATATGTAACTCGATTTTACTCAATCATGTTCAGGGCAGCGATCATGTAACTTTTCCCTTAGGGCAGAAACGTGAAAAGTGAAAAGTTATGTGAACTCGTGATCGTTTAACTCGACGAAACGTGGAAACGTGAAACTTTTCACGTGAACATTTTCGCCATCAAACTTGCTGGCGGAAAAGTGAAAATCTAGTGACTAAAATCTGAAATATAAATGTGTTATAACACCATGTGTTGAGATGAAAGAAACGTTATGTTTCTAAAATTATGGTGATGTTTTCAAGATTAGATATTCTATAGACGATAGACATTTATTTCGCCGATATTACACTATTGACCATTACGGTTAGTGATTTGTATTTTTCACGCACAAAGTTACGTGATCGCGTGAATAATGAAAATGGAATGGATAGAGCGGAAAGTGAAAAATGAAAAGTTTCATGTGAAATTACGTGATCGATAACCAGAGACATTTAATTTAATATTATTGAAACGAGTATGTTAAGGGTTAATCGGGTTAATGGCTATCTAATGGCTAACTAATGGCTTCGAGTATAGCTACGATATCGTAGCATTTCTCAATAACTAAACGAACATTACTAAATAAAAAAAAAAAAAAATTTGATTGTCACTTATAAAATCATTAAAAATGATGACCAGATGAAAATATTGCGCTACTGCACTTACCTTGGTATTTCAAAGGTGATCGACCTTACGATATTCTGATGAATTACTTACAATTGAGATAATTATCTTTGTGATACAGTATCAGATCTCGACAGCAATATTGATTTCCGATCTAAATGCGTTTACATGCGTCTTTTCCGTTCAGTAATACGAGGAAAGCAAATCACTTGACATATGAATAAATCCTTCGTCGTTTTCGATATTTCATATTTTATTTGTCATATTGAATTATATTTTTCGCTCCGTGTATGAAATCTAAATTTACAGCGAGAATAATATCATTGTTGTATAAATGTGTGAGAAATTATACACAGTCTGGAATGGGAGATGGAAGAGTTTCCCTTCTCCCATGTCCCTACAAATCTACATGATTGAATTTAACATAGTTTAATAGGGTAATAAGGTAAACCGTTGATGTATTTATATAGAATTTATATTAGTAACAATTGATACTTTAATAATAAAACAAAAGTGGCATTGATTGATAACGTACAATTTTTTATTTAGACTAGACACTACAGACGCGCGCTTCGCGCGCGCTATTTAGCTTTAACATTATGCTATTACTATTACATTATTAACTCCTTGATACACACAACTGTCAAAATATACAATGACAGCTGCAAATGAAGTAAGCGCAGCAAGAGAACCAATCGGCATCGTGGAAAAGCGACAACAATAAACTTCACATCTCCTTTTTAGAAGAGGATTAATAATATATTTTTTTAGAAAACACCGGGACAAATTCAGCTTTTTATTTTTAATCCAAATTAGAATAATCTACACGGATATTATATGCGATAGAAATTAATTGAAATATATTTAAATATTAATGATATATTACTGTGTATTATAATAATTAAAATAGCTACTGTGCACTATTTAATGCATAAATATGTTTACGTATTAATTGTTCATCAGCGGTTTATCCTTTATTACTCTATTCCATAATTTGCTATGAAAAGTGGTTTAACACAAAAGAGAAAGAGACTGAAATTTTTAAAATGTCTTTCGCACTACGCATTTATATCTTCAAACTATAAATATTACTCCCGATTTATTTATGGAGGTGCAAAAACGTATACGGAGCAATTCTCACTTTTATTCTTTTTATCCGCTGTCTTTCTCGAATACAAAATAAACTTACAAGGTATATAAAAAAAGTCAGAAGTTTTGAACATTAATTTTTGTATTTTTTTTTAACATAGAATTCTTTCTGATCGGGGTCACGATTTTGATTTTGGATTTGTAACGTCGGACGTGAGACGGATCACGTACATTTTGACGATTAATCGTACAGCAATGGGCATCTTTCGTATCTCGCGTTTTTCTCTTTTAACAAAGGAAGGCTCAGAACTGAATTCCGCCGATTTTGATGAAACTTGCCAGGATTACGGAGAAAGTTCCCCCGAATGTAATGGTATCCTTATTTGGGTGCGGACGGTCAATCGTTTCCGAGATATTTTATTAATAAATTTAGTGGCGTCTTTAGAGTTTATTAGGACACTCATATACGAGTATTTGTGACGTAGTATATGGTGTAGGATATGGTAACTGTCTCATAATTTGTAGACTTGAGTTTGAATCCCCCAATCAATCAATTCTTTTTTATATAATATAATGTTTTATGATAACCGCTGCATTCTACCATATTTATATCGCGAATTTCGCGATATGTGGTAAGAATAAGAGTCAGAGAGCGAGGTTCCGTCTGCGCACAGAACGGAGTGCACGCTTCCACGCTTGCTGGGTGAGAGACACGACGACTACGACGAGACGGCGAGACGGCGGTGCGTCCGGCGGATTGGCGGCGCGGCCGCCAGGAGCGCTCCGCTCGGGAGCGTCGTTCTTTGTTTCGGTTTCGGAGTGCAGTCTCCGTCCGACGAAGCGCAGAGAGCTCGACTGACGAAAATTCGCGACGCGCGACAACGAGAGAGCGAGGTGAGCGAGCGAGAGGGACGGAACCGAGGCATCGAGACTTGGAGAGAGAGCTGGGTGGACGGCACGGCACGGCGCGGCGCGTCCCGCGCGCGGAAAGGAATGCTCTCGAACGGAGGACGCGCGAGGACCGCATTGCCGCGAGAACAATCGAATCGCTTCGACTCGCTTCCTCTGTAAATAAGCGGCGTACGGCCGCGGGCCGAGTATTCGCGAGTGAGTGTGCAAAGTGTGCGAGAGAGGAGAAAGGAGAGGGAAAATAGGAGCGAGAGAAGAGAAACGCCAAGTAGGCGTCACAGGAGTGAAGAAGAGAGAAGAACAGGTGGAGGAGGAAGAGGAAGTGTCGGAAGTGTCCAAGTGACAGCGGGAGTCTCGCTCGTTTCGCTTCCTTCCCGTCTCTCTCTTTCTTTCTCCTTGCGTCCGCCAGCCGCCCCGAGAGAGAGGTGCGTACGCGAGGAGGTGGTGATACCGTGACACACACACACACACATACTCTCTTTCTCTCTCTCTCCGTCTCTCTCTCTCTCCTCGTGTCGCGCGCGCGTTTGCGCCGCGATTCGGATTGTTTGGCCGGCGGTGCGCCGTACAACGTTGCTCGCGCTCCGGTCCGCTGCGCGACAGGGAAAGAAGGAAAGAAAGGGAGAGAGAGACGGAGGAAGGAAGGGAGAAAGGAAAAAGATCGCCGTCGACGACGATCGCGCTGTCGTGGGAGCGAGCGAGCGAGCGCGTGGAGGATCGAAGAGACGAGACGAAAACGCGAGACGGCGGCGCTCTGCGGGGTGGGGTAGCTGTGCCATCGCCGACGTCCTTGCATCTGTACGCTCCGTTCGTCCGTGTCGATCGCCGCCACTGCCGCAGCCTCCTCCGCCTCCGCCTCCTTTGGCGTTGAGCGCGCCGCGACGGGGGTTGCCGACACCGCCACCGACACCGCCACCGCCACCACCGCTGTTGTATCACCATTGATTGCCGGCCACCGATCCGCCGGGCACAACAGTAGTGCGCGTGTAGTGACGACGACGACGTGGAGTAGTAGCAGGGTTAGGAGGGGGAGGGGAGAAAAGTGCCGCCGTGTATCGTCCACCGTGAGTTTTCCGTGTTACGCGTCGCTGTCAGTGTCCTACCACGGGGTTAACGGTGAATTTCTCGGAGGTGACGCACCGCGCCGACGACGCCGCCGCTGCCACCACCGCCGCTGCCGTCGTCGCCGCCGCCACCACCATCACCACCGCGACCTTGGAGACAGTGGAGAGTTTCGGAATCGGTTACGGTCAGGGAGCGGGCGAGAGCACAGGCAACTGGATGAAACCGCCGGGGAATCTGTTTCTCTACCCCACGTTAGACATGAAGGATCTCACGGGATCCGTGGAGGACATGGTATTGTTATCATTATGATCATCATTATTATTATCGTGTCATTCTTGTTATTTCGTCGTTATCGTCGCGCCGGATAACGTGCGCGATTCTCGATGTCGTGCGGCACTTCGAAACCGCGCCCGCCTCGCAACGCGTCAGGCCGCTCCGCGCCGTGGCGTCGTGTCGCCTGGCCAGGCTTGGCCTAGCCTAGTCCTAGCTTGGTTTAGCTTAACCTACCCTAACCTAGCTTAGCCTAGCCTAGCCTAGCCTAGCTTAGCTTGGCTTGGCTTGGCTTGGCTTGAGTGCTCGTCCCGTGTCTCGTAGTCTCGTTGCCTCTCTAGCCGTCCTAGCCGACGGGAATGTTATAGGTTATGTTCATTGGTCAACGAACGTACTCGACGTACTCTGTGCGCGTCCGCGTAGATCCGTTCCTCTCGCCTACATCTTCTTTGTTCCCGATTCTTTCATTATTTTTTCCACCGACGATTCGACACATACGCTTACCTCGTCCTGAGAGGCCTAGTGCGTAACGCTGCGTGTTTATGTTCCCGCGATCTCTTGATTGCTCGATTGACAAAAGTGCTGCTTTGCGATCGATTCGATGCGGATTCAGGTACGAGATCTAGTCTTCTCGATGGTATTCTCATATTTGCACTTGGAATAGAGCGTATGTGACGTTTGGATAAAAAAAAATGTGTATATATATATATATATATATATGTATGTAGTCCAACCTGAATCTATAATGAATAAACCAGAGGTAATATTTTTCTTCGCCAGTAATAATTAAAAAAGGAAAATGTTTAATTCCTAACGGACTTAATTGACCGTTTATTGACCTATTAAATACGAATTAAATACATTTTTTTAACTTAAATGCAAAATTTTATTTCATGTGACTCGTAGCTCGCTTGTAGAAGCGTTTACTTCCGTTTCCATTCCGGAGGTTGCAGAGAAATTCTAAAATTTTTCATTGACTGGAGAATGAGAAGGGAACTTGAGTACATTACTGATATATCAGAAAAAGTATGAGAAAATGTAGCCTAGAAGAGCTTTTGTTTACGTTTACATTACGTGTATAATTTATCGTATATTGAAGTTGATTAGATTCCGGAAATAAAAGTTAAAAATGTAGAAAAATCTACGAATATAGTAAGTAAGAAAAAATAAAAAGACACGAATTGCAAATTATAATTAGGTAATGCGTTTGTAACTAATTATTGATAGTATATTAACTTATTGATATTGTTATTGAAAATGTTGATAACAATTATATGTTATTATTACATTGATGGTATTAATGTCTATTATTATTGATTGTTGCTATGTAATAGCTAACATCAGCTAATCAGGTTTATATATATATATATATATATATATATATGTATAGTATCACACGATATTTAATAACTAGCATGCTCCGCCGGGCTTCGCCCCGGAGAACATGTGTATTAAGACACGCAAATAGTCTCTCTCTCTCTCACCCCTCCTCTTCCTTGTAAATGTATTTTTTTAAGCCAGTTTCCAAAAATATCTATATATATATATAAAGGAATCGGTAATGAAAAATTATACACTTCTTTAACATTCAATCAAATATTTCCCCAAAAATTTGAAAAATTTTTGATACCGATTTCCAAAAAGATAATTGTTTCTAAACTGATTTCCAAAAAGATCGGTAACAAAAACTATACACATCATAGCGCTCCCCGTAGAATTCTATCTCTACTTCACATACAATTCTTTAAAATTCGGTCAATAAATTCCCGAAAAATTGAAAAAATTTCGGTACCGGCTTCCAAAAAGATCGGTAACAAAAAATTATACACTTTATAGCACTCCCTGGAAAATTCTACCCGTTTGATCTATAATTCTTTGAGATTCAGTCAATTATTTCCCGAAAAATTAGAAAAAACGGTTTCCAGGAAATCGGTAACAAAAAACTATACACATAGTGGCACTCCCCGGAAAATTCTACCCCCATTTTATATACTTTTGGTAAAAATTCGGTTTAAGTGTTTGGGCTAGGCGTTGATGAGTGAGTGAGTGAGTGAGTCAGTCAGTCAGGACATCTTCCTTTATATATATAGATAAGTGGAGTAGTTTAGAATTAAAGTACGGAATTGCGAAAATAGTTGAAAAGCAAATATAGAACAATAAATTAACAGCTCAATGTGTTGAAAATTCCAAGATCTCAATATTTGAACAAGAGAATTAAGAATATATATAGGAATTTGGCTATATATTTTAGATATATAGAAACGTAGATTCCGTCTAAATTTGTCATTACAAACATTGGTCAGAACTGTTTCTGAGAGTTACTTTATTACCAATGTCCTCGTACTCCATTAACCTTGTATTTTATTAGCTGAATAGCTAGTGATAGTGTTACCTAATAGTATTACCTTGTAACGACGAAGGTCATTAGAAAGCTAAGCACGTGTTCATAATTTATTTGTATTTTTCTTTTATTTTTTTTCTCTTGCTTTTCGTAATTGTTTCGAAACTACTTCTTTCATTGCTATCTCTATAGTAAAAGTATGCTACTCCTCTTACTTCACGTATAATTATTCATAAATTAATCTACAACTCGTGAATGTTTCATTATTTGAAAACAGAATATTGATTATGTAAAAGAATTAAACATTCATCTCTATTCTAAAAAAAAAAACTGAAAATAAAATAAACCGAGTTATTCATAAAGTAACATTCTTTGCATAAAATTCTTGGCGAAGAAAACATTTTTCTACCTGAATGCTGCGCTCTTGGCTGCGTTTATTTGCAGATTAAATCTTTGAATAAAGAGTGATAGAATGTCAGTAAATATCCGTAAAAATAGATTCCTTAAAATATCATTTTTCTGATATCTCTCTTTGAAACTTTCAATTGGATGTAGTTATGCAGTAAGGAACCAAGCGCTATTGTCGTTTTTGTGATTTTTAATTCTGTGTTGCAAAGTGATATCATGAAGATGAAGGCCTATAGTCGATTTTCTAAAAACGCATATAACTTATGGAAATGTATTTGAGGAAGATTATAGTTTGGTATATTTGAGATAACATTGGCGCAGAATTTTATTTATAATGATCTAGTGGATAAGTAAGGTTTCAGAATTGGTTCCGCATTGCATAACTGCGTTCAATTATCGAATAAATATATGTCCGTTTACATCTTCGTAGACGAAATTTAGCTAATAAAGTGATTTTTATACATTTATATGTATTTCAGAGAATGAAAAATGCTGCGAGATATTTTACAAGGGATCGTTTTTAATAATTTTCAGATGTTTTCGGGATTAAAAGCTGATCATGATCACGTATTTCGAAATATGTGGAGTATGTAAAGAGAAATGAGACACAATCAAATCCAAGCATAATTAAATATATTGCGCTGGTCGCGAGAGTCGATACGAGTGGCAATCATCGACTGGCGTAGATATCGATTTGCGTGATCCACTTAAGCATCGTCTACAATACACGGAGTAAGCGTGGAGTAAGGAGTAAGAGTAGGCATGTGTAAGCATTATAGCTTGTTGCGTCCTGATTGGCCGAGCGTAAGTGTAAGTGGAAGAGTAAGAGTAAGAAATAAAATTAATTTATTTTGCTTACGCCCTTACGCCACCTCTCTTAAACCGAAAATAGCCCTCCTACGCCTACTCTTACTCCTTACTCCTTACTCCACGCTTACTCCGTGTATTGTAGACGACGCTTTAATCTTTCGTGTTACTTTCGAGACATAGTCCGATTTCGCTTGCCCTGGTCATTTACAATCTGGTATCTGCCGTGACTCTTCAACCGTGCATATTAAAGGCTAAATGTCAAAATTATTATCGATAACGTCTAATCAATGAATCATACTGGGTGAATTATCAGAAATGGGACACTCAAGTATTTATATTTTTTTTTCTTGAATTTTACAAGATACGAGAAAGCATGTAAAGAAAAACGATTTAAATAATTGCAAAGAACGAATGGGAGATGAGCTTAATCTTTTTTCTCTCACGTTTGTTTTTCTCGAATAATCGAGATTAATAATATCTCCATTGTTAATGCACTTCTATTTAAGTACTTTTATTTCTTACAGCTAATACAAACCATATATTAAATTGTGTTACAATGTATTAAGTGCGATTAACATCGAGTATCCTCCACCTGCATCCTAGATTGAGTAGTTAAATTCTTATCTCTATCGGAGAACAAAGAGGAAATAGGCGCGTACATGAGTTCGAAATGAGGTAAAAGTTACAGCGAGACATGGATGACACTTGTATTCCGAGACGAACTTTCTTTCTGACGTAGTTCTTGTTACTGACGGAGATTGGTTACGACGTCAGGATGGTTGTTACTGACAGTTACGTAGTCAGCTGTTACATCGCGTGAAAAAGAGAAATGTACGACTGATAAGCATTACACAAGATCAGTATTACTCTGCGATAACGTTGTTTCATAATCATTTCCTCGTTTTATCTGGGATAGTAGACCGAAAGGAATCTGAGTCATCGAGACTTGACGTGGATATATGTATATTTCGGAATGTAAGGCGGCACGCTAACAATAAGTTTATTAACTCCACTATTGAGTTGACGAAGTTCATCACAGGTGTAATCCCACGTCTGCACCTGTGATCTTTTCAAATGCTTCGGATTTTAATCTTATTATTTTGAAACAACACGGAAATAACAGCAAAAGTTTCAACAATTGCAAATGGAAATGCTAATAGCTTTATAAGCGATTGCACAAATAAAGGGAATCTAATATCACAGATTTATGCAAACACATACCTAATCTTATTATTCATTTATTTTTACGTGACTTCTAAAAGTTTCATCTAACAATAAGTGAACGAGAAAACAATTTTTTATGAATTCGATTTTTGCTGCAGACATGTGTCTGTCGAACGTTTTGTTTTTGCTTCGAAAGAGAAACGAATTATTTTTACGCGTCGTTTCTCGTGTTCGAAATTATACTTCAGTTTCTCAAACTCCAAATTTTCGTGAAAATTTATGGCACATCCGAGGGTGC